TCTCAATTCTATCCTTTGGAGCAATACCTAACAAGTCCCCTCCACCTCCTACACCTTCTTCCACAAAGAATCTGAAGGCAGCATTTTGTCTCTCTGTAATTTCCCCATATTCACATTACACACGACCAGTTCCTTCAATGAATCAGTCATATAGCATGGTTTTTAGATGCCATAAATAAACCCAAGTTGCAGTTTCACTTAAAAATGTCCATAAACAGAGTGCAAATGAGAACCGAAAGTTCTCATTTATTTGTACCTATAGTCAACACCATTAAAGAGACTGCTTAGAATCCAGCAATTCCCCAGGAACTGTATCCATATGCATTTCTCTCTCTCTCTCTCTCTCACACACACACACACACACACACTCACACACACACACTCACCAGCAACAGGGGAGGAGGGTGAGTTGATGCAAGCTGGTCTCACAAACTCATCTCCCCAGCCACAGTGACCGCCTGCAACAACAGTCCCCACTTCCAAGCCGGACTGATCAGTCATTCCCAGGATTCCAAACTGGAACTCAAAAGAAGCTTTCTTTCCTCTCTGCTTCTGGGACATTTGGATGTGACAACCACTCACCCATCTCATGGAATGAGCCAACTTGATATTACAAGATAATTCACAGAGTGTAGAGAGAAAGATACCGAATCTATAATTCTGGTTATTCCTGGAACCACCTCTCCCCATCCATTTCTGTGGTATGGTCATGTAAGCCAATCATTTGTTCCTATTGAAACAAGCTTAAATTAGGCTGGCGTCACTTGCAACAGAGCAGCCTGCTTCAACAACCACAACTGCAGTTCTGTCGTGCTAAACTATGGACAAATGTTTTGTGAATCACATCGTTAGGTGAGTTTATCATTGTGACATCACAGAGTGTACCTCCACAAACAAAGGTGGATACAACCTATCTGAGATCCAATCTTTTGAGACCACTCACATGCAGCCATCATTAACTGAACTGTCACTCTGTGGCATTTTATTGCATCCTAACAGAATCAGTGAAATGCAAGTCATAAAAGAGAGAAATTTCCATACCATCCCAAAAAAGCTGCAGAGGGAACATAGTTTACATTATTTAAGAATAGAAGTGATATCCACTTCCAAAGATTAAGGTTTGTCTTAACTAATAGCCCAAGATCCACAGGGTTGATACTATGCAAAACTCTACCCCTAGTACTATGATACTATCTGGAGAGTAAGTGACTGCTTAAGACATTCTCTGTTGTATGTTTCACAATAAACAGAAGTTACACTGGTGAAAAAAATAGATTATGAAAATGAAGAATCAGATTCCAATAAGAAAACTTGGACATATCGTTTCATCCTTTTTAGGAAATTTGCAGGATTAGATGATCTTCGCAGTCCTTTTTAGCCACAGAATGCCATGATGCTATACATACTGAAGGTGTGGGCATAAGTAAAAGCAGAAACATATAAAAAATACATAATAAAGAAGGAAGCATAAAGAGAGAAACTGCTCATCATATAATAAAAGAAGTCATTCCTGGTAATGCCTTGCTGTATTTTGATCAGTTTCTATGGGCCAAATTTACCTTGCACTTACAGGTCCAAATCATCCATAGGTTGGCTTCCTTCCTTCCTCTTGGCGTCTTGGAAGTTCCTATCTGCTCTCCCACCATTCCAGATGGTTTTTCTTATCCCCACAGATTACAGATCCAACCATACTATGTACTCCCCAGCCCATTCCCAGTGGGCTCTCTGCAATGATTGATACCCCGATGGCCATAATCTTCAGTTGACAGATTACATTTGGAATTTACATTCATCATTTCAAACAACCATTAGGAGACATCTGTGAGTTAAGGTGACCCACTGATACTGAGCTCTCTGTGGAAGTGACTTTGGACCCCTTTGTAAGAGGTCTGATGAGGGAAAACATTATTTTAATTGGCAACTGGTATCACATTATTATACACAGTATGTATACCACATACCAGCAATGTGATACAGTGGGTCAAATTGCCACTTGTGTTGCCGGAATCCATGCCAGAGTTCTGAGTTGAGTCCCTGGCTGCCCCGTTTCAGATCCAGCTTATTGCCAATGCACCTGGGAAGGCAAGGGATGATGGTCCAAGTTCTTGCTTTTCTCTTACTATATGTGGGACCAAGATGGAGCTACTGGCTTCTGGCTTTAGCCTGGCCCAGACCTAGCTGTTGAATCCACATGATGGCACATCATAACGTTCTCTCAATCTTTATCTGCCTTTGAAATAAATAAATAAATCTTTTTTTTAAAAAGAAAGTACCAGCACATACTAGTTTACGTATATATTCATACATGTGCTAAACATTTTTACATTCATTGGCTCATTTAGTTCTCATCTAGTCTGCTATAGAGACATACTAATTATTACCTTCACCTGAACAGTGAAAAACACTGAAGCTCATAAAGAGTAACTTCCTCCTGGCTGCACACCTAGGAAGCCCAAGAGCCACGTCCCTCTGATGCAGAGTCCTCATTCAGACCCTCTGTGTCATCTACAAGGGCACGGACTCCTGACAGGAGTAAGGAGAAGATGCCTCGGGGCAGGTAGCAGTGGGACTAAAACCAGGGAGACCAAGGAAATGAAATCAACAGGATCCATTCTCAGTTTTGCTTAGCATCAGCCCGATTTCAAGTAGAGCCATGTTCCCATTATGTAGCAATAGATTATCTGCCATTTTGCATTGTGGGAATGTACCCTCCATTATCCAGGCTAATCTAGTTGACTGTGGATCGCTGTACTCAGGCACTACGATGACAGACAACTAATCCAATCTCTGGTGCTAGGAAGATGCTACAGTTAACAACTCTTCAACTTTTTCCCTGTAGCGTCTGACACAGGCCACTTCACATCTGCCACTATTCCTCCCTGCAGTACCTTGGGAAGAAAAATAATTGAGAATTAAGCAAGGAGAAAGGACGCGGAGGGAGGGGAATGAGTAGTTATAAAAAGTGGTACAAACAAAATACTTCCACCTAATTTAAAGAAAGAAAAGAATATCACTACAGGACTGATTGTTTCATGACTAGCAATTTAGAAAAACGTGAATGGTTTTGGTTCATCGACAAAGAAATTATATGACTATGCAGTGGAAAATCTTACATCTAAATAGCGAAGGAAGGCAGGAAAAAAAAAAGAAAAGAAAATAGTGAAGGTGACAGTTCTCAGCATCACCAGAGACCACTCTGTTTAGAGTCCATGGAGGGTCTGTGACAGCCACATTTCATCACTAAATAAAAAGTCAGCTATTTGTAGATCCCGTCCTCCTGTAATTCCTCCACATCTTTACCTAATAACAAAGACGCTTAGGTTTACTGGCTTAGAAATTTAAGAATACCAACCACTAGTGAAGAGCCTTTAGGCTTTCCTGTATGATAGTCAAAGCCTCCAGTTTCCCTGAAAGGGAAACTGGGCGCAAACCAGCAAACTCCTTGGGCTCAATCAGAAATTAATAATGAGGCCTAAAATAGAGTACAGCGCCGGATGGCATGCAGAAGACACTGTTACTACCTGTTAAAGAAGTAAAGATCTAAGAAGTGATTTAATCTAAAACAGTGGTAAGATCTCAAATAATTGCACTATTAAAATCTTTTTTAAAGTACAACATCCTTCAAACAGACCAAGGAAAGAGTCCAATGCCCTCATTCCAAATCCAACCAGTCTCTTACCCTAGCCAATCCTCATGAATCAGGGAAAGGTACTTGGAGGAGGGAAATCATTTTAAATACTGCCAGAGTTAAAAAAAAAAAAAAACTAATGAAATTTTGCTCATTCTTGGAGAAATGAAGTAGAATCAGATGCTTCAGTGGTGGTGAATTCCAGAAGCTGGCCTGCCTCCAGTACATGAAGCTTTTCCCTAATGTCAAATGCAAAAGCAATCTGATAGCAACATATTGAAGGGAGTGTTTAAATTCCTATTTCCTTACACCAAATTGTTTGAAATCTTTGAGATAAAACTTCAATAAACTAGTGTTCCAACCTTTTAATATTTGAGTCCCTGGAGTAAGCATGTCAGATTAATCTCCAAATTGCAGTGGGCAGAAAGAACATTCAACCAAATTCTTAATCCCATGCCTCTCTCAAAGGATGTTAATAATGCAAGCAGCGTCAATGGCTATTAAGACTGCAAACTTTGCTAATCTTCACCCATACTACTATTTTTAAGGGGGGGAGGGGACTGAGAGGGAAGGAGACTCAGTCCATCCTGAAAGCAAGGGAGGGTAAATGCTTTGTCTTTGTGCCCACCTTAGCACACTGCCAGGCACAAGACAGGCGTTTAACAATACCTTGTGAATGTTAATGAAAAGGTCTTAGGGAGAGTGGAAATCTTGCTGAGAACAGCATTGAGTCCAGATCCTGGCACTGCTGGCCAATAGAAACCATGTCCAGATAGAAGTTGAAGGAGGGAGAACAGCAATTTGCACGTGTGTTTTCAAAGCAGAAACAAGGACGGCATTTGCCAGGCTGCAGAGCGACACCAGCAGCCACTAAAACATAAATGTCTCCAGCATCTGCACACCTAGAAAACTCCAGTACCGCCTCGCTACTCTCCCACCCCACTTCCTTTTACCCAATGTGGGTTTCCATTCCCAGACCTTAAATATAAGATTTCAGACCTCACTGGTCAAACCCAGGCCATACTCCTCGCTGACCACTGCCTAAGGTTTTCCCAGCGTCCACTCCCAAGGAGGTCACACCATGCTAGACGCCAAGCCAGATACACACTATAACACAGGATACTTTCGAAGGTGACTAGGAAAGCAGGGGGTGGGGAGAAGTGGCAAGCCGGGTGAGGGGATGCAGGGCGAGCACAACACCTGGACACTCTCCAGAAACCTCCAGTTCCTCTCCCAAAAACCTCGGCCTCCGCCGCTGGGAGGCGCGGGGAAAACCTCCTGCGCGCACAGGGGCGCGTGGAGTCTGACTGGGACTTGGGGCAGGGAGCAGGCAGGGAAAAGACAAGGAGCCAGTCGGCACTGGGAACGGTACCTGGTGTGGCTGTGGTTGCGGGGACAGTCCTTCTTCTCCATGATGGCCGGCACGCAGTTGGTGAGCTCTGTCCAGTCGGCGTGCAGCCCGCAGCTCCAGCCGGTGGAGAAACGCGAGAAGAGCCACGTCTCCTTCTTGCCGGGCCGGTGGCAGGTGCACTTCTTCTGGCCGGCTTTGCAGCTGCAGGGCTGCTCCAGACGGATGTTCTTGACCAGGTGCCGGCCGAACGTCGTGCCCCCCGTCTTCTGGATGTGTAGGAACACGATCACGTCCCGCCCTTTGATGTTGAAATCCACGAAGCGGGTCAGGTCCTTCAGGGTGAAGTTGAAACGGGGCACGAAGCGGGGCGGGGAGCCGTTCTCCGGGCCCTCGGGGTCCGGCTCCTCTTCCTCCTCTTCTTCCTCCTCCTCCTCCTGGTCCCCCGGCTCCACGTCCTCTTCCTCGGGCACCACGGAGCCCCGCGACGCCTCGGGCGGCCCTCGGGGCGGCGGGGGCAGCTGGGGCCGCCGCTCCCACTCGTCCGGCGGCACCTGTGCTCGGCGGGCGGGACTCGGGGCGGCGGGCGCGCGGGCCTCGCCGGCGCGGGGCTGCTCCCCGAAGTTGGTGCAGGAGCTGCTGCAGGAGGGGGACACGTACTGGTACATGATGACCACGAAGAGGAGAGTGAGCACCGGCGTTAGCAGCCACTTGTTGAACCTTTCATCCATGGTCCCGCTCTCAGGCCGGCAGGCGAAGCGGCGGTGGCGGCGGCGGCGGTGAAGGGCGCCCGTTCGGAAGTTTCGGGGACTCCGGGGCGCGGCTCGGAGCCCGCCGCTCCTCCATGCCCCTGGCGCCGGGGCGCGCGGCTGGCTGGAGGCCCCGCCGCACGCCGGGGCTGGCGGAGCCGGGGCCTGGGAGCCGCGTGTGGGAGGAGGGCGCCGGCCCACGCGGCTGCGGCTGCGGCGTGGGGCGCCCCACGCTCCAGGGGCCCCACCGGCTCGGCCCGCTCCCAGCTCGCGCCCGGCCTCTCAGGCGACGCGGAGCATCCCGCCGCTGGCGGCTCCCGGGCGCTCAGGCACGGCGGCGCGGGGCTCGGGTCCTGGACCTGCCCGGGACAGCCGGGCAGCCGGGCAGCTGCGACCACAAGCGCAGAGGTTGCATGAGGTTCGTCAGGGCGCGGGCCAAGGGCGAAGGCGCAACGCTGCGCCGCGCCCCGCACGCGCACCCGGCAGCTCTGCCCGCGTGGCACGGAGCGCGGGAGCCGCGCTGGCGGACAAGCCCGCTGCAAGTTTGCGGAGCAGCCCCACGGCGGCGGCGGCGGCGGCGTGCGGGTGGGCGGGCGCTGGTGCCGGGCCGCCCCCGCCGGGAGTCGCACTGCGCGCGGGCCGCTCGGCCCCGGCACGCAGACTCCACCACACACACGGGCTGACACCGCCACGAGCCGCCAGCCGGTGTGACGGGAGCCCCGCCACCCGCAGCAGAAACCTGCCCTAGGTACGGAGCATGCGCCTGAGCCTTCCCCAGCCCCCGAGGAGTTCAGGGGAGGAGCCCGCTGCTCCGCTGCGCTCCGAGGAGGCAAATGGTGGTGGGACTCCTCCAGCCTGGAGCGAGGAGAGGGTTGGCGAAAAAAAAAAAAAAAAAGAGGTGGGGGCGAGAAAGAGGCTGCGAGGAGAACGGCGCCAGCCCTGATTTGAGCCCTAGACGTTGGCGGCTTTCCTAGTCTGAGCGGACAGAATGCTGGCCGGCTTCTTACACCGCCACTCTACCTGCACCTGCTAGAAATACCGGCGCCTAGACCTGTCTTCACACAGGATGGCCGGGCACTCCCAGGCGTGGGAGAAGCTGGCTCCAGACTGCCTTTGGTTTGCACCCGACACCGCCAGAGTCAACTACAAACTTGGTGTCCGACTGTACAACTCTATCCAGTCAGTATGTCATTCATCAGATACCCATGAAGAGTCGGCAGGCTCTTACGGTTCTGTTGGACAAGATACACTTCATTTCTTTGGGCACCAGTCCAGCTCACAGCCACGAAGTACAAACAGTTAGGAGCCGCTTCCTAAAATGTGTTCTGCTAGTTTGCACTAAGCATTGACGCGCCACGCCTTCACACCGGTATGGAATATAAAAACTACACTAACCTGCGTTTCAAAACGCAAACCTTTGTGCACAGGTGGGTTTTTTTTTTTTTTTGGTGGGGGTAGAGGGAGGGAATGAAATTTTCAAAGATCTAGATTTTCTAGATCTAGACTCTGATTGCCCCCAGAGTCGTGGCTAAACAACAACTTGTTCAGATAATGGGTAGGATGGATATACAATCGACTTGCAGTGGTTGCCCTCCCACATGCCCATGTCCTCCTGCCCTGTTTGACCAGGGTGGGGATTTGGCAGTGTGTTGAAAATGGGGGCCCTGCGGTGTGGTTCCCTAGCTAGCTCGTGGCTCCCCTGCCAGCTGCACACCGTACCTGGCATGCCTCACTGTGCTGGCAAACGCCTTGCCATCTGGCCTCCTTCAGGACTCACGCACTAGTTGTGTCTTTCTGTGGCACCGTGCTGTTCTCTTCCATTGAGCAGCGTCTCCACCTTTCTGTCATCAGATCGGATGTCCGTCTCTTGCAGGGATGCCTGTAACAGATCATTTTTACTATTCTAGACAGGTGGGATTCTCCTCAATCCAGCTTCCCTCCTCGGCTTTTTTCCTGCTTTTGGCTCTATAAACAACCACACACGGCACCCTTCCTGGTACTCCGGGAGCCTGAATTAGGGACAAGGGTGTTGAGCACCATGACTTGGCACCTCCAGAGTTTACTGGAGTCTCTGCCTTGAGTGTGCAGTTTATCTCCCTTAAGTGTAAAGTTCCATTAATGGCATCATGCTCCAAGGCAAGAGCCTGTGATAAGACAGAAATGCTACGAAATTTCAAGATTATTTCCTGAATCTATAAATTGATAATGATACTTGTTAATTTTCATTTACTTTTGCTTTATTCAAGTAATATGCTCCTATTGGAGAAGTTTTTCATTTTCTGTAAAATCGCATAATATCAACTTAAAAATCTTACTAAGCTGCCCAAACGAATCACCAGAGTGCATGTGGTGATTGGCACAGGAGAAAACACTCCTCTAACGGTCATCTGCTTTTCTTCATAAGGACAGCTCCAGGAAGATCCAGGAAGCATGGAATCCCACGTCAGAACTGACAAAACTAAACCAAGGAAAGGTAGGCAAAACAAAACCAGGGGTAGAGACAGCCATGCTGCAGTGCGTTCCAGTTCCAGCGAGATCCACAACGGGCCTCACCACTTCCTCTCTCGTTCCTCCTCTCTTGAGACAGTCTGAGTCAAAATGCAGGAAGACACAACAGAAATGCAATCAAATAATTGCATGATTTTCCTTGGCTTTGTAAACAAAAGTGAGTAATTCTGTGTCCTGAAGTACTTCGGCACTTTATCTTGGGTCTCCAACCAGGAAAAGACAATCATAACATGTTCTATCATTGCTAAAATGGGAAATTTAAAACAAAATATATGACAAATAATGTTGTTCATGAAATGTAAATTTCTATAACTAAATGTATCTTGCGAAGGTTTAAAGAACTTATCCCCAAAGATCTGATTTTGCTTTTGGTAAGATGGTTCACGGAGTGCCACCATTTCCTTCAAGTTACCAGGAGGAGAACAAAGCACAGTGTCAAGGCAACCACATAGATAACTTATTCCTGAGCCCAACTATTTATTTTTAATGTTAGGTAACTTTGGCGTGTAAACACAGCCTGTCCCAGGAGTGTCTCCTCGTTCCAGCCGTGAAACATGGTGTGACCCTAATCAAAACTCTTAAATCATGCAATGAACAGGCTTTTTCTTATCTGCAAGGGCAGACCTTACACTGGGCTAAAATGAAGAGAAGCTTTCTAAATTTGAATGCTCTCCAGGTAAAAAGGAAAGCGTGTTTGCATTTAGCCTACTGTAGTCATTCCAGGAAGCCGCCAGCTGGCAATTGTTTTTGGCTAACAGATTGCAGCTACTATGATTCCTACACAAATTATTAAAATAATAAAAATAATGTTTTCGAAGTGCTTCCTTCCACTTCCTTTGCCAGTCTAGCAATGAGCTTGACACTATTTGTGAGGCAATTTGTTCTTCTAATGTTATGCCTTAATAAGCTTTACTACGATTATTTCCTTGCCTGCTTCTTTCTACGCCTTAGCTTTAGCATTCCTTCTTCCATTCTTTTCAAATATTCTCAAACCTGTTAACAACACTGCTCTCCCCCAGGATCCAAACTTTTGATTAGAACAGTCCTTATTTAATCAAGTTCAATTGGGAGATAAAATTGCATCTCAACTTCTCCATTTTCCCTTTGGTGGCAGAAACTGCCTTTGAGAATGTTGAAGAAACCCTGGAGAGATGAACAATCCAGACAATCACGGAGAATCGTTTAGTATCCTCTACATGTGACACAGGCATGTGTGTGTATATACACACATGTACATACGCACACATACATGAATGCCTTTGGTGCAGATGATAAAAAACAAAATAGATTAAGTCATTAGCAGCTTGAATATCTCTTTCAAGAATAGAAAGTGCACTTACACTCTGAAATGATTTTGTGATTTTTCTAAACAAGCACGTCTCTTTATTCCACCCCCCATTCAAATGCTCCAAACGTATGCTGTTTTTCACGTTATCAGCAAAGTGTTGGCTTTCTTGTTCCACTTGGATAATAAGCAGAAGGATTTGTATAGTCAGGGTGAATTGTAGGAAGAATTGTGACATGCACTAAATGCATTCTGGTTCAGTACATGATAGAAACTTTTGGGCAACTATGACCCTAATGCTGCTCATAAAATTCTATTCCTTTGAACAGTTTATTCTTTGCTTCACTGTATAAACTCCTCAAGCACTAAAGAGGGCTGCTTATGATTGAACAACTGAAACTGTGTTATCTTTATGCTATCTTTATTTTATATAGCACAGTATAAGTAAACATACGTACCCTCTCACAATATGATATTAATTTATCCCAAACAAAACTTGTTGAGGATTTATTCTATATTGAATAATATTCTGAGTACTTTAGAAACATCATAAATGACCTTTTTGGGCCATGCCTTCGTATGTCTTACACTCCAACAGTGGAAAAATAATTCATGGAGAAATAAACAAGATTCATTCACTTAATCCAAAAAGTATATGTTGACCTCTTGTAACATATTAACTGTATTTAGTTGCTTGGGATGCATTGGTGAACGATAAAGACAGGGAAGATTGTCCTCAAGAGATTAAATGACAGCTGAATAAGGCACTAAGGAAGAAGATGGAGAGATGGGAGATGGGTTGTATCCTGCCTTGTGCTGTAGAATTCTACTCTGAGAAGCCACTGAAGGATATGAGCAGTTTCTAGTCAGCCATTTTGCTGTTTTCTTGAGAGTAGATTATGAGAGGTCAAACATAGAAGGAGAAAAGTGGTCCTGGCACAATGGCCTAGTGGTTAAAATCCTTGCCTTGCATGCGTCAGGATCCCATATGGGCACCAGGTGCTTCACTTCCCATCCAGCTCCCTGCTTGTGGCCTGGGAAAGTAGTCGAGGAAGACCCAAGGTCTTGGGACCCTGCACCTGCGTGGGAGACCTGGAAGAAGGTTCCAGGCTTCTGGCTTCAGAATGGCACAGCTCCGGCCATCACAGCCACTTGGAGAGTGAATCAGCGGACGGAAGATCTTCCTCTCTATCTCTCCTCCTCTCTGTGTATCTGCATTTCAAATAAAAATAATAAAAAGAGAGAGGGAAGAAAGCA